CCCCCCCCGTCACACCGCCACCCAGCCCCAGCCCAGCTGCCCGGCCTAGACCTCCATCATCCCCCACCCCGGCCCACCTACCACACGAGTAGGAGGGGCAGCACCTCCCAGGGACCATCTCGCTCTTCACCTCGAACCCCAGCAGGCACAGGGGGGGCTTCTTGTTGCACAGGCTGGTGTTGCATTCTGAAGACGGGGGAGATGCCCCAGTGAGCACGGCTGCTAGCTGGCTGAGCCCCGACGCCACCCCGCGCAGGGCTGGGGCCTGCAGCAGAGGGACCCGGGGTCTGGACCCCCATGGCCCCACCGACGCCCACTCTCCTGCGGACACGCCCTGAGGCCCCCACCTCCAGAAACCACAGCAGGGCCAAGCCCGCTCCCTGCCCCGCGGGCGCCTTACTGCAGGAGGTGATGTTGCAGCAGGTGTTGGCGGGGTCGACCTCTGTGACAGTGTAGGTGCCGTCCTCCTTGCACTCCACGTGGGTCCTGGGGTGGCATGTCTTGGGCCTGCAGATGATGCCGCTGCCCCCCTCCAGGCAGATGCAGTCCTTGCAGTCGAACTCAAAGTGCTCCCCAAACTGCAGGGAGGAGGGGCAAACAGAGGGAGAGCGGGTGCCGGTCAGCCCAAGGCAGCACTGCACCGGGCGGCCTGCGGGAAAGCCCGCGCCCTCCCCGCTCTGAGTGCACAGGGCAGGTTCTGGGCCAGGACACTCACATCACAACCGAGACCTGCTCACCAGCGTGTGCACACACAGGCCTGGCGCGGGGCAGGCGCACCACGTGTCTCTGTGGGGCTCACACAGCGTGGAGCTACAGAACCAACCACGCGCAGGAGACACGCTCAACACTGCAGACGCCGCAGGTGTAGACAGACCATCAAATGGCTAGTGGGTGGATCCCCCTGCTAGCTCAGCCTTCCAGGACTTAAATCACTCATTACTCATTATAGCCTCCAAGGGTCCCAGGTTCTCATTCCAACCCATCCCACCTCCCAAAATGCAGGGCTCGTGGGAGTGTCCAGTCCCAGCACCAAGGGTGTCAGCCTACCTCTCTGGGCACGTTGTCGGGCCCCACGCAGCCTAGGAAGGAAGGAGACAGGCCCCGTGAGCACAGCCCCGTGAGCACAGCCCCGTGAGCACAGCCCCGTGAGCACAGCCCCAGCACGTGGGAGCTGGCCTCAGCCCCAGGGAGGAGTAGCGGCCTCTGGCAGGCAGCCTACCGCACAGGTCCACGCAGACGTCGAAGCCGGGCGCGTAGCTGGTGGTGCCCTTGGGACAGAAGCAGCCTTCCGCCAGGTGTGGGCTGTTTGCTTGGGTGGGGCTGGGGGGGGAGAGCATCATGAGACGGCGAGGGGACAGACTGGACGACCAGCCCCGACACACCGGCCAGGAGCACGGTCAGAGGGACAGCAGCCCGCCGCCCCGACGCGTCCACAGTGACTGACCTGGACTTGCAGGTGGGCTCCTCCACGGGACCACAGGCCTGGTACTCGCGGTGCGCCGGGCACGTCACCACTGTGGGGAGGGGGCAGGAACCAGAGTCAGAGGGGGAAAGCCTGTGTCCCCCACCCTAACCCCCAAGTGACATCATGCCCAACCCCTCCCAAACAGGACCCCACACACCCGAACGGGCTGAGCGTGGCCTCAGCCCCCCATGCTGTCCCGAGCCAGGAGGAGGGGGCCCAGCCCGCCGGGTGCTGAGCAAGGCTGCTCTTCTGGTGGCCTGTCCCCCCACCCGAGTCCGGCTCCCGGCACAGCGCCCAGCAGAGCCCGGGACGGGGCGGTCAGGCACTCACGGCAGGCCCCGCCGGTGTGGTTCCGCCAGTTGACGCAGATGCCCTCCTGGGCACAGAGGGCTGCGTAGGTCTGCAGGCTGGCACACTCCAGGCTTGAGTCGGGCACGGTGAAGCTGTCGAATATGCAGGCTTCGTAGTAGTGCTTGGGGGACGCCACAGTGTGGCACGGGGCAAACAAGCTGCGGGTGGAGGGCTGCAGGTCACGGTCTGGCCGGTGCCCCACCTCTCTCACAATACCCCTTGCCCAGCACCTGCACCCGGGCTGTGCCCCGGGGCCCGGCTCAGCCTGCACCACCAGACAGGTGCCCGTGGGCTGAGGGTGGGAGCAGAGCGGCGGGGCTGGCCTTGGGGTAGGGGGGCCAGCACTGTGGCCCGAGGATGAGGCGCTGTGCTCGGGCCCAGAGATGGAAGCTTCGTGTCTAAATGGCCACGGGGTGCCAAGACCCCCCTCCAGCAACACCAGCAGAGGACCTCCCAGCCCCGACTCGCCCCCCCTCGGGGACGAGCTGCTTGCTCCCAGGGGTACCAGCTTTGGGAGCGCCCCTCTCTGTCTAAGCCCAAATACCCGTCCCCAGCATCAGTCCTGGATGCGAACTCTGTCCCGAGTCAACTAGTCTACCCAGGATTCAAGCCCAACCGCCCCTGCACCAGCCCAGAAGGCAGGAGAGATGGGGGGGG